AAGCAAAAGCACGCGGACCACATATACGCTGAAGACTACATACACAGTTTACACACTGCTCACTGATCCCTAAGCTGCACATTGTCACAGGCAAAAGCCCTAGCCCTAGTCCTAGCGGGCCAGGTAAAACAGGAACACCAGCTTCGCCTCCGTCGTTGCACTTGTAGTTGCGGTGGTGACATCCATTGTTGAACAGAGAGAGATGATTGAAGAGTGTCGCTTCTTCCTTCTGCTCTGCGATCTGCCCTTCATGCGATAGCCTGAGGAGGGAAATGCAGCATTATTGTACCAACTGTTGCCAAGTGAGTGGACAGTTTGATTTGAACAATTATCTCTCATTTTTTAACTCTCGCTCTCTTCCTTTCATTGAATTTTGCTAAGTCTTTTCATAATTTTTTCTAAGTATTAAAACAAATATTAATGGTTGCGGGTTAGCATGTGGAAGTGAACTTTCATTTTTGGTGACCTTATCTAATATTGTTTGTTTTGGTCGTGTATCTCTGGCATTGGTATAGTTTTAAAATGCATCACTCTAATTTGAAATGGCATAAGTGTTCTTTAACATCGTCATGTCGATTTAGATATGAATGTTGTTCCGTCGTACACATGTTTAGCGTTCTACGTGTGTCCGGAGGGAAAAAGAACCATAAATTATGGGGTTGCTTATCAAGGTGGTTTCGTCCCAAGGCACAACACGTATTTTGTATATACATTTATGTGAGGATTTGTGAGTGGGGGTGATGAGGTTGCAGTTAGGTGTGGTTTGAAGGCCAAATCAAAGCAAAACGTTGAAATACGATTTGATAAAAACTCAAACCAAATCAAATCATTTTTACTAATTGGTGCTGGACAAAACCAAAATTTGTTTCAAATCGTGACAGAAGATACTTGCATTTTTATCAAAACTTTTCCTATACTATCTTTAAAAAAATATATATAAATCCAAATTTTCAATTGCATGTCCATACAACTAATATAGTCAATGGAAGTTATTATTCCACCCTAAATATGGAATGGATGAAAGTTTTTTAAAGTGTAGAGTTAGTCCTAATTTACTCATATCTTATAAATTGACATCGACACGGGTCTAGTTAATGAAACCTTAATTTCTAGAGTGACAGATCAGTCAAAATCAAAATATTTGGATTGTTATTAAAGATATGCATACTCTGATAGTCAATGAAATATTTTTTTTTGGATAACTAAAGTGAAGACAAGAGAGGTGTGTCCAGACCAACTTTATAGAGCCTAACATACTTGTTTCAAAAAGGTCAACTTTAGGAACTGCAAAATTATGTTGTAAGCCCATTGTCGGAGGACGAACTCCTTAGAGATGTGCACAAGTGCTTGAAGAGTTGGAGTGTATCGAAATCCAGTATCGAATATGAATAAGATGAGTTGAATGGCTTATAATCTAGTTCCACAATTTCTAATATTGTCCTTTATTGGAATTGGAATGTCGATTTTCTTTTAATCTCTTTACCTATCTTGTGTGCTCGAGTGGGCTTCCGCGAATAAGCGCACTCACACCTCTATCTTCTTTCATCTTCAATTTATTTACTTTAAAGTAAAGGACAATAGCAATCCATACAATTTGATACTGCGATGGAGTTAAAAGGCTGTAGAAAAAGACTCTCCTTTTTGTATTCAATGAATATGTTTTCTGTACATTTACAATGCTCAATCCTGTTATATATATAGGACATATGAAAACCCTAATTAGGATATATACAATAGGAAGGATTCTATACTAGGAAGAAATATATACAATAAAAATGCCTAACAAATAGGCTAAAATAGCTCACGATCATAAAGGCTAGTAACATATCCATGGGAAGCTTTTTTAAGAGCCTTGTGATGTGCTCAAGTAAACATATATGCAAGTGTTCAATGAGTTTTCCGTTAAATTATGTCTCCAATTTAAGCCGTTATGAAATCTGACCTGATTGGATGAAAACAGCAAAATGAAATTTTAGAGATTGACTGACCTTTGCCGAAGGTTGGCCGTGAGAGAGGGAAAAGCTCTCATGCACTAAAAGCAAAAAGAGGGTCACTTTATTATAATATTACTTTGAGGGATGAAGAGGTCTTGATGAGAGAAGAGACAAGAAACGTGGGTAGCTAGGGTCTGATGAAGAAAAGAAAAGAAAAAGATAAAAATAAAATAGCTTTTCTTTATGTATGTTGAGCGTCAGAGGCACGGCAACAATATTGATTTGATGAAAGGAATTTTTGAAGGTGAAACAATCGCAATTCGCGTCTTTCTATTGCATGTCTCAATTACAAGAGAAATATACTATATATAGACCATAGTTTGATTCGGAATAGGAAGCCTCTTTCTAGGAAACCTATTCTAATTAGGAAACCTACTTGACTTAGGAAACTTTCCTAAAATATAACTAGAAACAATATCTCACAATATTTATCAAAATATGGAAATACGAACAGACTCAAAAAGGAAATAAGTACTAACAAATTTGGTTTAATTTCTAACACTCCCCCCTAAACCAAATTTTCTTCCATCGATCATTCCAAGTAGGCTCTTGAACTTTCGAAAAGCATCGATCTTGAGAGGTTTAGTAAAAATATCTGCTACTTGATCTCCGGTCTTCACATGCAATACTTCAACTTCATTCTCTTTAACCTGTTCTAGGATGAAGTGATATCGAACATCGATATGTTTACTTCGTTCATGAAAAACTGGATTTTATATTGCATGACAAACGCATGAAGATGCAGCTACATATTCAGCTTCACATGTCGACAGAGTAACACTTGATTGCTTCTTTGATGACCACGTGAAAGCAGTGTCGCACAAGAAAAATACAAATCCCGTGGTGCTTTTTCGATCGTCGATATCTCCACCATAATCACTATCCGAATAAGCTCTAAGTTTGAAAGATTCAGAGCAATAATAGTGTAAACCATGAGAAATAGTACCTTTGATGTACTGAAGTATTCTCTTTGTGGCTTTAAGATGAGATGATTTCGGCTTCTCCATGTATCGACTAACAATTCCAACACTATACATAATATCCGATCTCGTGCATGTCAAGTATCTCAAACTTCCAATCAAGCTTCTATAAAATCCCATCGGCACTTTGCTTCACTTCGATACCAAGCAAATAATTCATGAGACCATTATCGGTCATCTCAAATTCTTTCACCATCGATGCCTTAAAAGCATCAATCATCGCCGAATTATTTCCTGTAAAAACAAGATCATCAACATATAAACAGGCGAGTAGAATATCACCTTTTTCTTGCTTCAAATAGAGTGCATGCTCGTATGGACATTGAGAGAATCCATTCGCCTTGAAATATGTATCAATTCTGGAATTCCATGCTCTCGGTGCTTGTTTAAGCCCATATAGAGCTTTCTTCAGCCTTAGCACTTTGCCTTCATAACCTTTCACAACAAACCCCTCGGGTTGTTCGACATAAATTTCTTCTTCAAGGATGCCATTCAAGAATGCTGATTTGACATCCATTTGATAAATCTGCCAATTATTTTGAGCAGCAATGGAAATAATCAATCTAATCGTTTCCATGCGGATGACAGGGGCAAAAACTTCATCACAGTCGATTCCGGCTTTTGCTTGTACCCTTGCGACTAATCTAGCTTTGTACCTTGTTACTTCACCTTTCTCATTCTTCTTGGCCTTGTACACCCATTTAACACCAATTGATTTCTTGTCCTTTGGAAGATTAGCAAGCTCTCATGTTTGATTTTTCTCGATGGCTTCAATTTCTTCGTTCATGGCTTTCCTCCACTTTTCTTCTTTGGCCGCATCATCATAAGCAAGTGGTTCATAAACTGCAAGAAGACATATAAGATGAAGCTCTTCGGTAGTTTCGTAAATTTCAGACAATCTTCTTGATCTTGGCACTAGCGGTTCATCGACACTATTTGAAGAGGATGGTGTTGATGAACTTGAATAAGATGTTGGAGAAGAAGGTGAAGGTTGATCTTTCAACTCCGTTTGATCGGAATCATCACGAATATTCGCTAATGCTTGCCGATAACACACCCTTCACATAATTGATCGGGATGATCAATATGTGGTAAGCCATAAACCATCTTCAACTAGAAATAATATCTCACAATATCTATCAAAATATGAAAATACGAACAGACTCAAAAAGGAAACAAGTACTAACAAATTTGGTTTAATTTCTAATAATGTAGCCCTGGGATGTTCTTTTTCCCAAGTGGGGAGCCGCCGCAAGTGGGCTCTTCCATTGCACAGTGGTTAAATAGTGAAGGCTCCGTGGAGAGAGCTCTTGAAGGAGCCGCTGCAACCACATGGAAACTCGTGAATTTGTGAGGCTGAGTGTGTGCATTTGAGGCTGTGCATGCGTTTGACTTCTTCAAGGACGTCTCCAGAAGTGAAAACGCACGGGGAAATCATAGCCGAACAGTGGAGTTCCTTTGTTTGCACGTGCGGATTTGTGTGATGAGTCTTTACATTCAAATGAGTTATTTATTTGTAAATATTTAAAATTTAAATTTAATCTAGGTGCAGGAAATATTCAACGCGTGTCCTTTATCGTTTTTTTTTTTTTAGTAACCGAGGTGTCCGAGCCAGCTTGTGCATACCTCGACTATCGTTATTTATCTGGAGATTTTCATGTTGACATAATTTGCAAGATCTCGGATTTTTAGCTTCCACGATGGTTATATCACAACACTTCCCTTAGCACTTGTTTCAATGGATGATGCATACCAAAGAAACCCTCAGCAGTAGTTGTACGAGACTCCATGGACCATATCGTGAAAGCACTTGTTATAGGACAAGTTCATGCCCAATCCTCACTAGGAAAAAGCTCAAGCCTTAGTGTTGGCTCTACTCAATTATAGGAATCGCTCACAATGAAGTCATAAAGTGTGTATCTTTATTGCCATTCAAATTTAAGGAAGTTGACAGCCACACAGAAATAAAGGAACTTGGATACTTCCAATAAAAGATAGAATATATCACGATAACTTATTGGCAGGGCTTCTTAAATTACTAAATAGAGAATTTGAAGTTTCAAGCATAAGCGTCAGGATTTTGGAGGAGGTATGCTTCGGCGACCTTGTACATTCCGAGGGCTTGCTCTTTGCCTGCCTTACGTCCTATTCTTTAAGCTCAACATCTCCCTTTGTTGAATACGTGCTTGTCATCTTGTTGTTGCTCCCGCCTTCTTGTGTTGGCTTGAATTTGACTTCGTAAACAATAGATTCAAACTTCTCTTTAAGATTGATCATGGTATACTTGTACGTGAATGTCTTTAAGTTCAGCTCATCCACGTGATTCTTCATGCTGCTAAGTTGACCACTTGAATATAATAGAAGGAGATCGTATCATAGTATACTTGTCTACGCCCTAATTTTTGTTAAAGCTAGAAAAGAAGCACATTTTATACAGCAAAAAAGCATAATTACCTTCAATGAAGTTGATCTGCTTGATGTTTCCAGCCCCTCCATCGCCTTGGAGGAGGTCAATGCTCTTAATAGATTGAGGCATGAGTTTGGGAATTAGGTTATGTGAGTCCAAAACCAGGGCCTTGAACAATTTTGCCGGAGGGATTGGGGAAGTGTATTCATTTGTGAAAGTGAACACACCCATGATGTCGTTAAGGTAGCTAGCTACAGAAATATGAACAATATGATCAAGGAGAGTGGAGTTGAATGAGGTTTGTGAGCTTGGGATATAAGAGATGAGAATTAGATACACTTATAGGTTGGAGTGGAGGAGTCCTGATTTTTCCTAAGTGTATCCCATTGGCTGATAAATTCTAGGATTGCCAAACTAGCAAAGCACCAAACATTCTGCTTTTTGTCATGTTTTGCATGAATGGAACTTCACTAAGTAGATTAGGGTTTCATTCTTTAGGAGAGAGATTAAGAGAGACCACTGGGATCCAAAAGAAAGCATTTCGTGTGTTCATAGCTGTCCTTGTTCAAGTAGTACAATGGCAACCGAACAAAACTGTGAATCTTTACAACTAGACGAGTATAGAGAGAGTCGGTCAAGTGCTTGGTAACGGAAGGGGAAAGAAAATTAACAAAGAGGAAAGGAGGTTTCAAAAAATTTGACTGCAGAGATTTATGGAATATGTGATAAGCGCTGAATAGAATGGCCTACCGCCCATGTGGCAAATTAGTCCTCCCCAATATTTTATCCTTCGTACAAGTCTACTCGATTCTTCACACAAACATGAGTGAGAGAGAGAGAGAGAGAGAGAGAGAGAGAGAGAGAGAGAGAGAGAGAGAGAGAGGGGTTAGGGCGGAACTGGAAGCAGATGGAGGGTATTACTAGCTGTGACTTTGACCGTGATGTGACGGTAGAGGAGGCGAACAATGATAACCGGATGTGCATGCGATCACTGTTTGGTATCGAAACGCTTTTGGCATTCTTCCGTAGGAAGATATAATCCATCAATCAAAGATTGAAAGGAGAAAACTTTCTTTGATGACAAAGACGACAACACGGTCCTTTCGCACAGTAATTTCGCAAAAATCCATCCGCCGACATGCGTGGGTCATAGTTGAAAGAAATGAAGATCTCAGTCGGGCCGACAATAATACGCATGCGAATCCCGATGGGCAATCAAATCACTTAGTTCCATTCTGACCGACCACCGGAATGAAGAGAGAAGAAGAATAACGAATATGAAGAATGAACAATGCAAAAGGCAAGGAATGTAATTCCTTCCATTTCCAATCCGGAAAAAGCTTAGGAATATATTTATCATTCTGCCCACCATTTGCAATAAGGGAATTGTTTTTGCCTCCCCCCAAATAATAAAAAAATTCCCAAACAATCCCAGCACAAGAGCACAATGCGTACGAGCCCTTTATATGGACAAGTCTCGTGTCGGACTTATGTGATCTATAAGCTGAAATACACGGAGCTCACATGCAGCTTGTGCATCCAATAACGATATACCACCTTTCGGCATATGCTAAAATAACGATCAAGACGCTAGCAGTCGAAGACCACCAAAATTCCCACTCTCCTCTCTTCAACTTTTTGTTTTTTTATGTTTATTTACGGTCTGTAAGCATCAACTTTGGCCAATTGTGTGGACTTAATACCCTAAAAAACCTCGAACTTTAGTTTTTATCCCAATTTTATCTTTTGTCTAGTAAAAGACCTCCAACTTTAGGTCAAGTCCCAATTTTACCATAAACTATTTTTTGTCTCATAAAAAACCTTCAATTTTAGGTCATGTCCTAATTTTACCCTAAACTTTTTTTGTCCTATAAAATACCCCAAACTTTAGATCTTGTCCCAATTTTACCGTCTTGTTCCAATTTTACCCTAAAATTTTTACTGCTTCATAAGAAACCACAAACTTTTACTTGAATCACAAATCTGCCCTCATTAACTCTCCGTCCGAAATTTCTCGTTGATAATTAAGATTTGGAAAACTCCCAAGCACGAGTTGTATCATCCCGAGCGCAAGCTCACCGACCAAACACGAGCTGCTCAAGTGTCCCAAGCGCGAGCTCTTCAACTGCGAGAGATGGAACATTCCTAAGCACGAAAGATTGACGAGTGCAAAATCACTAAGGGAGATTTTGACCAAGAGTTAATGGAGAGCAGATTTGGAACTCAAGTAAAAGTTAGTAATATTTTATGATACAAAAAAATTAGAGTGAAATTGAAACTGAACCTAAAGCTGGGATTTTTTTATGAGACAAAAAAAAGTTTAGGGTAAAATTGGTATTGGACCTAAAGTTAAGTGTTTTTTATGAAATGAAAAAAATTTATGGTAGAATTGGGACTTGACCTAAAGTTGAGGTTTTTTATGGGACAAAAAAAAGTTTAGGGTAGAATTGGGACATGGCCTAAAGTTGGAGGTTTTTTATAAGACAAAAGGTAAAATTGAGACAAAAGTGAAAGTTTAGGATTTTTGTGGGTATCAAGCCCAATTGTGTGTGTCGAATCTTTGTTAGTTCTCTTGCAGCATCAGTGCATTTGCTAGGATTCCAATTGGTTACTCTTCCCTTTTCCTGCTTTTCATCCTAGTACCAATTGGTGACAACATCCCTTGAAACAACTTTGAAGGCCAGGATACCTTTGATGCTCTGTATCCTTTCAATCATCTATACAAGTAATGGATGTCAACTAAGAATCGTGGGCAACATCGATGAAGCTGTTGCGAAGGCTACAAACTTCGAAATGGAGAGAAAATCGAATAATTTGGTGTTTGTGGGATAAAATGAATATTAATGGCCATGTAGAAGAAGGAACACTTAATATATATGTTGGCTAATTTCTTTATATATAGATTTTCTAAATCAAAGGGACTAGCCCACAACACTACTCCAAGCAACTAAAAACGCTAATAACACACCCACAATACATACAATTCATAACAACACTAACCAGCTTATCATAAATTGATCTTGATCATCAGGCAAACCCCTAGCTTATACCTTATTCCCCAAATTGCACATCTAAAAGTTACACTTACACATCCACTTTCATACATAGCTGCACCAACAATCTAGGGAGACTGTAACCACTCCCGATCAATTTGATTTGATTAGATTGCTGAAGGCTGGGCCTGGTAGGGCCTGATCAAGGGGATGAGCGAGCCGCTGAGGTGGAGGGACATGACTTCGTTGGTGGACCCGACGAGCTTGCCCCCTATGAACACTGCGGGCACGGGTGCGCTGCAACCAAGCCTGACCAGGGCCTTCTCTATCTCCCGACAATCGGGGTCGTGGTCGATGTCGTACACCCGGGGTTGGACCCCAAGGTCCCGGAACAGGATGGTCACCGTATAGCACAAGCAGCATGAGCTCTTGCTGAATATCACCACCCCTTGCTCCGACGCGCATCTCGTTACCTTGTCCATTCTCTCTCTCTCTCTCGAAAACCCTAAATCAATTTAGGGTGATTCCCAATTAGGAATGGTACTTAAAAACTTTTTAAGTTCGGGAAAAAAGATGTTTTTAATGGTTTTCTCGACTTGGCGCGCCCGACAAGAACCCGATTACCACAAGACTGAATCCGGGGCCGAACTCGATCAAATGGGAGCTTGCCAGCGGCGGAGAGGAGAAATCTAGAAGAGGCTCAAAGTGGTGTGGTGTGGTGTGGTTGTAGTTGAGCTTTCTTGTTCGCAATGTATATATAGGGACGGCTAATGTGGGTGGACTAGTAAAAGCCTAGTAGAGAGATACTTTATGTCTTTTGGAAGGGAATTTCGAAAAGTGGGCCTTCTTTTACATAGATGCTCAAGCTCATGATAAAGTAGCTATCTCGGACAATGACTACTGTATTCCACATGGGGCTCAACAACTTGGGCATATCCATTTTTTGTTCAGTCATTCACGAGTTTATAGAACTTAGTTTATTATTTATTGCATGGAGTTAGGTGTAGAGCCACCTGAACAAAATCTTCTGAATCAAGGTAATTGGATCAATAAAGAGGTCAGACGATTGTAGATATCATTTAAATTCATATGCATCTTGTCTTTGCTATCTAGTATTCATTAAGTTGGTCCAGAAACGAGCTTTAAAATGTCCACATGGCCGAAAGGGGAAGGAAAAAAGTTAAAGAACAGAAACAAAAGTAACGATATGTAACGTGAGGTCACCCGCTCAGATCTTTCGAACTACGTGCTAACTGTTTTGATGGTCAACCGCATGAATTTCTAGACTTAATGTGTTCACAGAGCTTGTACGAAGAAGGGCGTGGCGCTAGAAGGAGGAACGTGGAGCATTGTACTGACATAGAACAAAAGATGCAATAGAATATATGGGAGGGCTTGGTCAATTTGTGCTTAGATTTCCAGCAATCTAAGAGATTCTCAAAGCCCACCTTCTTTGAATCAGTTTTTTCTTTTGGTTGTGCAGAAAAAGATCATTGGGGAATGACAAGGGCTTTCGGTGGGCTGCGATTCCCTGCTGGTCGTGACCACCAACTTGCACATTTTATTCAAACGTTCCTCCTCACATGCTGGAGGGGACAAAGCTAAATATATGCTCATTGCTATGAAGAGGGATTGGGTAGGGAGAGCATCATCACTTTCATTTGGAGTCTGAATTTGCATCATATCAGATTGAAAATCGACCCATATATTTGGAATTGTGGGCCTCGGATTTTAAGGTCCACAACCTCAGATTTGGAGAGAGAAGGGGTGGGGGAGTCAGAGAGAGAACTTTTTTCCGATTTAAGACTATGTAAATTGATAGGAAATATGATTTTAAATGGGAGGACTACATCTATATGGATAGAACTGGAACTATCCAACATATAGTCTTAGGCTGCGTTTGGTCGTCTGGATTTCTAGTCAGGATAAGATTGGATAGGATATGATTTGAAATCTAAAGGATTTTCTATATCCTATCTACTGTTTGGTGAATAACAGAAATAAAGCCAGATATTTTCACATCTTACAATGTTTATTATTTGTTATGAACGTCATATTAGTATAAATGAACCCATGAATTGCATAAACGGAGATTATAAAAATCTCTCTCATGACACTCTTACCTACTTCATTTTTATTTGCTTATTTTTTATTATTTTTCCTTCTCTTTTTTAATTATTTTGTTTTTTTATTTCTTTTTTCCCCTTCCATCATTCTCTAATAAATTTTTATTAAATAGTAAGCTATACTAATATAACTAAAATATGTAATAAATATAAATACATTAGTATTGATTTATATATGAAATTTATATCACAAGATATAAAAAAATTTGAATATATAAATAAAAATAAGAATAAATTAAAAATGAAATTATTTGTTATTTTTTGTTATTTTGAATTTTTTATATTAAATTCATATATTATTTATATTCAAATATTATTTTAATTTTATTAATTTAATTAGTTTTTTATTCGACAAAATTAACTTTTATATTATGAATATTAGAAATTCTATCCACCTTTATTCTACCTCCCCCATGGGATAATTTTATCCGGGCTATATCCAACTTTATCATATCTTGGGCAGACACCAAACACGGGATATGATAAAATCTATCATATCTTGAATTTTATTCCGACTACCAAACGTAGCCTTATTTAGTATCAGCAACTATTGGCACCTAAAAATGCCTAGCTTAGATGTTGGTCATTTTGATAAGGGCATCAACCATATTAAACAAGATATCGACTTTATAATTAGGATGTTATGGAGATAATACCCACCGGATTGTGCTTGGCATTGGTTTGGCTAGAGGGAGGTTTCAACATGTGTAAGATCGACATTGGCTGGTTGAGACAATGCCAACACAAAAAAAGAGAAGCATAGGTAGTTCAGCCAGGATCGGATCCTCGAATTGCATGAGATCATGGCCAGACATGTGGTAGAGTTGGCTAAAATACAAGTGACAAAAATGACAGGCTTACACGTGGTATAAACGGTTGACCTGATGCCAAACCTTTATAGTTTATTGAAAGTGCGGAGACGGTTATTTCCTGGTCCAAAAAAGTGATAAAAATCGTGGCTAGACATGGGGTTGGAGCATATTGGCACACGTGGAGAAGTGCTTAGTGAACTTGTTACCAAAAATAGATACTGGCTAGTGGAACCAACGCCTAAAACATGGGGACACATCCAAACTTGGGAAACAAGTCTTTAAACGTGAAAGTGAGATTTTAGAGACTCGTAACTATAAAAAGGACGTTTTAAGAGAGAAAAAGGAGAACGCTTTTTCCCTTTCCTCTCTAGGATTCTCTCCTCTCCCTCCTATTTTCACACAGTTTTCTTCTTCAACCTCCATGAAGGGGAGAATTTGAGCTAGTCCTCTTACTCCCCCCCCTTTTTCCTTTTTCTATGGTTGATTTGGTTCTTTATTCTCTCTTTCTTGCTTTCTTCCCATTTTGAGGAGTTTTTCTCTTCTGATCTAGTATATATCTAAAAGTGTCTCTCTCCTGTTTTGGGGAGGTTTCTATCTTGATCTAGTCTAGATTTGGATTTTTTTTTTGTTGCGTATATGATTTTGGGGTTTCGCTTTTCTCGGGTCGTTGGTGTACAAGTCCAATTTTGAAGGGGATCGGAGGACTTTCGCGTGAGTTTCACTATTACATGTGTCATATATGTGCGCGTTCAACCTTGTTACTCTGCACTGCGATGGTTTTGGGACACCAAACCTAGGCATCCACCGCCTAAAGGCAAAGAGATCTCAGTGTGTGTTCATTACTGAAGATGAATTTGGTGATTGATCGTCAATTTTGGTTTGAAGAAACCCCATATCTGCTCTTTGAGCGTATGACTCATAACCTTGTTATGATGATTTATCTTCTTATCTGGAACTTGTTTTGTAGTCTTGATTTGCAGTTGGACTACGTATCTCTATTATATATCTGTGGAAATAAATAAAATGTTTCTTTGACAAAAAAAAGACAGAAAAAGGGCAAGCACTCAACCAAATTGCAAAATTTAACTTATTTTATTCAAGTTCTTATTTCATTTCTTTTATTTTACCAAATTCTCGCTCTTGAGAGTTTGATTTGAGCTTGTGCAGTCAAGTTTTAACTCTAGGTCATCATTAAATCTATTTCATGATCCTTTCTAGATTGTAATCGTCTCATCAATAATATCGGGACTACGTATTTTTCCTATTTGTTAATTTCGAACTTGGTCCTTATAAGGAGTCTTTCTTGAAGGGGCTGACATTCATTCGATGAATTTAGGCAAAAAAACATAAGCAAATATCAAGAAGCAAAGATTTGAAGCACATCAGACTATACTTTATGTTTGCAATTTCACAGACTAAGTAATGGCATTGATGGGAAGGTCGATTGCATAAACTAAATAATTTAGAAGATTTGATTATATGAAAGAAAATTTGAAGGACATTTGAGATTGGGCCAAGCTAAATTGCTAATAAAACGGCACCGTTATTCTTAGAGAATAACGGTGCACATTTTGGACACCTTTTCCGAATGATGGGCAACCGGCAACAATAAGTTCTGCAATTAACTTTTTATCAATTATTGGTTTTTGTTTGCAAACATCTTGGTAAGATTACAGGACGTTATATTTGGACATTAAAACCCAAGTTAGCCTCCTTTTTGAAAAGGGAAAATGATAAAAATGGTCCATGAACTTTGTCTCAATGTGTAATATGGTCTTTAAACTTTAGCCTAATGTGCAATATCGTCCCTGAACTTTTAAATTGTTCAATGTGGTCCATAGATTTTTGGTACATGTTCAATTTAGTCACTGGACTATATGAAAATGTTCAATGTTATCTTTGAATATGAATTAATGGAAGGATACCATTGAATATTTTCATATAGTTCTGGAATTAAATTGAACATGTATCAAAAGTTTGGGGACTAATTGAACAAATTAAAAATTGAGGAATTACATTGCATATTGGGCCAAAGTTCAGGGACCATTTGTGTAATTAACCCTTTTGAAATTTTTTTTTCCTTATCTCTCTAGATTTGGATTTTGATACCAAAAGATTAATCAAACTATAATGCGATGTAGAAAGTAAAATCAATATAATTTTTTTCGTACTGGGGATCACAATTTCTGATACAACAAAAAAAAACACTCGAATATGATATGAACTTATTGAGAAAACCTAACCTAATTGAACACGACATAATACAATGTGGTCCACTTAAAATTGACACAAATGACATTCCTTTCATGAATTTTCGGTAAGAAAATGTTTGTCATCACCTTGGAACAATTTGTAATACAAAATTAAATCGAATGTTGATATTATCTGAATGGGAATTTGATTTTCCAAGGAAACTGGACAAATAAGTCGTCCAATTTCCTTGAAAAATATGGGGCGCAAAAAAGTAACGGTGGAGTCAGCTAAGCTTTTTCCTTTGAGATTTTACCCTTCACCAAAAAGAGAAGTCCAAAAACATAAATCAACAATTTTGTCATTGTTGAGATTGTTTCTGGAAAGTAACATGGACGTAAATCGATGGCATACCTTGAGCTCATATAAAATGCCCTCAAGCCTTCATCACTTTTGTGGACCGAACAAAGATTAAGATTTTGGATTGATTTTACCGTTTTATTTAATTTAAACCTAATGACTTTCATATTTTAACTTTTTTAAATTCAACAGATCTGAAATTCTTAGAATATATAAATATCGATACTTACG